ACGTGTGCTCTTCCGATCTCCCCAAAACCCCAAAACCCCTTAAATCAGAAATATCTAGATTAATGTATATTAAATTAAAAATAAATAACTCTACCATTTTAGATCTGATTAATTCTCTATTAGATTAATATCATTCTCAGAATGCCAAAATAATTTAAATTAATTCTGGAAATTTCAGATTTTTTCATCATTCTCATCTATTTTTACTCGTACCTAAATAATTCTCTTTTTGGATTGCCAATTTCTTATGTTTCTAAAAGCTTTTGTATTTCTATAATAACCTGCAATCAAGCAATAAACATAGAAAAATGGATAACTAGCTATCCCTATAGCAATAGTTATTGAAGTGAAAATCACAAATACAATTGAGAATAGTATAAAGAGTATGAAAAATTAAAAGCATTTGCCACGTGGTTAAAATGGTCTTAAAATCCTTTAAATTCGGCATGAATCAAAGGCTGCTAAAATATAATAAACAATAGCCAACAAAAGAGCAATAAAAGGCATGCCAAGCATTAAAAATGTGTATTTTAAATGAAATTTGTATAATTTTTTCTCAAAGCTACGGGCACTATAATCATAGCAACTAGTCATATTTAGAGGAGTGTTTTTATGGATAATATCAGACATTGGTTGACCACATATCCAGCACCAGTGAGAATCACAAATTTTGCAATTCATGTGGTTACAACCTTCATTTTTTTCAATGGGAGATTTACATTTTGGACAGTGATGACCTTTGATGTTTATAAACCATTCTTAAAACAAATTATCTTCTTTTTTCTTGCATTTTCCTTCATGCCAATTCTAGCTGCATTAAAAGCAGTATTTTATCTTGCATTCTAGACAAGCTACTTTATTTTATTTTTTCTTTTTCTGTTAAATAAATCCATTGCAATCCTAAGTAGGACAAAACTTCTTTGATGAATCTGATGAAATTAGTTTGTTTCTTTTTTATGTCTCGTATAGTTAAAATATCTCATCTGGCAGATATTTTTGCAAATCTTATTCATCTACAAGCACTCCGCAATCTTGTTATGGACATTATACTTGATGACCATCCCCAGATTCTTTTATTCTGACTGTAGCATATTCTATGAATGCTTCAATACATAATAGATGCTAGCACTTAACTAATTCAAAGAATTTAGTTATTGCATGATCTGCATAGCATATTTCGCAGTATCAAGCAAGCTAATGCCATTTATCGATTTTATTTTAAAGCATTAAAGGCTGTTTCAGCGAATTTTCCTAATCTTGTCCAATAATTTCTTCACTGTCATCAATTTTAATTGAAGAGTTTCTGATATCTTAATCCTTGCTCATTTTAAATATTAAATTAATTATATTTTTATCAGTATCAATAAAAAATCAAATATGCAAATTGTGGGGTTTTGGGGTTTTGGGG